GAGAAGCCCAGGGTCCCCTCCAGGTCAGGACGGCAGCAGCTGTGGGCAGGGTGTCTCCTTTGTGGCAGGCTCCTGGGAGAGGAGGGCAGTCTTTATCCAGCCTTGAAATGTGTTCACCCATGAGCCTCAGGACACCCTATAGGGGGCCATTTCCATTTTACAGAGAAGGAAAGGGAGGGTCAGAGTGGTCGAGGGACCTGCCAACGATCATTCAGCCGGCCTCCAGAGATTGCCACGGCAGTTCAGGCCCCGCACCATCAGTATCACAACAGCCTCTTCCTCAGTTTCCCTGCCTCCACTTTGTCCCCTCTCCAGTGCATCCTACACCCAGCTGCCAAAACCATCTTCACTCCGTTGTTCAGGAAGCTTCCATGGCTCCCTATTAGTGCCAGGATCAAGCAGCTGGCTTCAGCCTGCCTTTCCAGGCAGACTGGCCTTTTAGCCTTCCATTTTCCAGCTCCGTGCCTCCTTGCCTGCCTGGAATGCTCTCTCCTGTCCAGTCCCCGGCTTCCTTCCAGGCTTAGCTCCCTTCCTGACCCCGACATTCTGCAGATTCCTTCAGCTGCATTGTCTCACTGGGCCCCACAAAAGAGTCCTGGGAGACAGGGACTATTGTGCTTCCATTTCACAGATGAGGAAACTGAGGCACACAGAGGTTTAACAAGTGTCTGCTGTAGGATTCGAACCCAGGCTGTCAGTGCTCCCTTCCTCCTCCTTAAATGGGCCTGAATATACTTATGTATTGGCATGTTGTCAAAGAGAGTGTAAGCTCTGGGAGGGCAGGACCTAGTCTCCATTTTTGTCTTTGTATTCCCTATACAGAGGGCCTTAATAAAGGCTTGTTCTATCAGCTTGGAAGCGTCTGAGGCAGGAGACTGCCTCTCCCTAGCAAGTGCAACGTAAGATGGGCAGGTCTTCCACACCTGTGTGGGATACAATATGTTGTTTTTTATTAGTAAGGCTCTCTTATTATTTTAACACCGGCAGTCTGAGCCCAGCAGACGGGGTAACTCTCCTGAGTGGTACAGCTAGGAAACAAGGATACGTCCTGTCCAGGGACATCACCCTCTCCCAGTGCTGAGGCAGGCAGTCATCTCCTTTCCTTTCTCAAGGGCTCTTCAGCATCTGCCTCCCATGCTTCTGTCCCCCTGCCCTACTCTTGGTGATGTCCCCTCCAATACCCTCCTGGCGTCCCAGCCCAGCCAGCCAGGAGAAGGGGCGTGCCCTCCCCCTTCATCTCACAGTCACCGTACCTTTCTACACCCTGGCTTCCTCCAGTGTAAAATGAGGCACTGGGGCCAATGGCCTCTACGGGTCTTTGTAGTTCTAGATCTGTAACCTCTGGTAGTCTAGGACTCTGAAATGCCTCCCCCTCGTGGCTTCCCCTCTTTGCATCCTTCCTGCTACCTCACTCCTCCCAAACCTGTTCCTCAGCATGAACAACAGTTCCTCCAACTTCCTCGACCATCAGTCACCCCTTCTTCCCTTCACAATCTTGACCACATCTAAAGTTCATTGGTTCACCTGGACACTGTCCTGTACCTTTAAATCTTTTGCCTGATGTATCCTTCTCATCAGCCAATAAGCATTTATTAAGCACCTACTGTGTGCCAGGCACTGTGCTCAGTAACAGGGATACAAAGAAAAAGAAAAGGCAGTCTCTGTATTTGAGCAGCTTCCCAAATCCCAATCCTGAGTTTGCCCACCACCCACCTTCTCTGCTCCTTCTCACACGTAGCCAAGGACTGTCTGCCAACAACCAGGCTGACGGGCCACCAGTTCGTGAATCTCCCAGGCCCCCCCCCCCACGCTGGCTGTGGTCAAACCCTTCTCAAGCCTTCGACCTCACCTGTCACCCCATACGTGACTGAGAAGAGAGACGTCGCCCATCGTGATGCGCTCCCTCTTCTCCCCAAGCCCCTCTACGGCCCCATCCCCATTCTCTTCTTTCCTCCATTTGCTGAGGAAAAGGTGGCCCTTCTTCCCAAGCCCTCTCCCCTCCTTCCCTGTTGCCTACAAACGTGTCCAGGTCTCCCCAACCCCCAAGCTATTGTCCACATCTCTCCTCGTGTCTCACAGCTAAACAGAAAAGCTGTCTTCTGTCTCCTTGCCTCTACTACCCTACCTCCCACTCGCTCTCAACCCTTTGCAAGGCTAACTTCAATCCCACTTCTCAAGGGACACCGATGGCTCCAAGGTTCCCAGTGACGTCTCTTCCTTAGGTATCCATGGCTGTCCTTTCCTAGTTCTCCGGCTGAGCCCCCCACAACCCCCTCAGCAGCATCATCGGCACCACTGGCTAGGCCCAGGCCCCTCCCCTGGACCCTCTCCTTGTGCCTCTGGCAGGCTGGTGAAGCCGATGGACTCCTCACAATCGTGTTTTCAAATGCATAAACTAAAAATACACGGTTACAAAGGAAACCAATTATAATGAAACCGTCCTCCAAATGTCCTTTTAAAAACCCAAGTTCACAGTCCCCGTGTTGAGAATGTTTGCTCCAGACGCTCTTGCCGACCTCCTCCATGGCTCAGTCATCACCCGGAGGCTGAGGTGACCCTCTCCGCCAGCCCAGCCCTCGGCTCTCTCCAGAGCTCCTCGCCGGACGGCGGCCCTGGTGCGCCCATTCAGCGCACGCTCAGCAAGTCCATGGCACTCTTTCCTTCCCCCACTTTCTTAACGTCTTTCCTTCTGCTGAAGGCACCACCACATTTCTTCCCTCCCGACCGCCACGCTGTCATCTGCACCTTCTCCCCTCAGCCCAGATGCCGAGGCTTGTCTCCTGTTTTAGCCCTTCCTCCACTCCCAGGACCACCGGCTCTCAGCACGCTGGTGGCTGCCCCAGGGATGGCTCCCTCGTTCTTCCTGAGTAAAATATGAATGCCTCAGCTTGGCGCTTAGAACCCCTCACAGTCGGTGCCTTTGACGTCACAGTCCACTTTCCAAGATGGGCAGGCATAGCCTCTACTTCTTAGGATCCTGGGCTCTGGACAGAGCCGGCCCAGCTCAGGTGCTCAGGGGCCCCTCCGACCGAGGCCCTTCCCAGGCACTCTGTCTCTAAATGACTCTGCATTCCTCTTCTCGTGGGCTTGTATGTCTGAACGTGTTGTAACCTTCTCCAGCAGCGTGTGAGCTCCTCCAGCCAGGGACTGTACCAATGCAAGTGGTAGGTGCTTAATAAAGGCTGATCGAACTAAACTGAAATCCCGCCAAACTGGCCTCTGTTCCGAATAGGACAGCCCATCGCCTGCCTGGAATGCCCTCCCTCCTCACGGAAGGCTCAGCTTGGGGGACGGGCCTAGGGCTCTCCCCCAGCCCTTGGAAATAACTTAGCATTGACTATGGCATGGTGCATGCTCCAGTAATAATGCTAATAATAGCTAACATTTATATAGCACCTTCTGTGTGCCGGGCACTGTTCGAAACACCTTACAGTTATGATCTCATTTGATCCTCGTAACCACCCTGGGAGGTAGGTGCTATTATTAATCCCATTTTACAGACGAGGAAACTGAGGCAACCAGAATCACACAGGTACTAAGTGTCTGGGGTCAGATTTGAACTCAGGTCTTCCCAACTCCAAGCCCAGGACTCTAACCCCTGCATCACCAATTCAACAGATTCTCCTATGGCAGCTAACGAAACATAGAATTTCTATTTGCTGGATTGTCTGCTTAAGGCTGAAGTCTCTAGGGACAGGACAGCTGCCTCCTGCTGAGTGTCTGGGGCAGAAGTGGAGCCCAGGCTCTCCTGGTTCCCTGACCACCCTGAGGAGTGCTCTCAGGGCAGAGGGATGAGACTTTTTCTGCTTGGCCCCACAGAACAGAACTAGGAGCAACAGGTACAGGTGGTAGGCTTGACCTAAGAAAAGACTTCTGCACTGCTGGCCAGACTTGGCCAAACATGGCACGGGCCCTCAGGGGGCAGTAAGGCCTTGTCACTCAGGCCATCAGAGAGAGGCTGGACTGTCCTTCTCAGAGACCCCAAAGGCCCACAAAGAGCATCGAGTCTATACTCCAAGGCAAACCTGGCAGGCAGTGCAATGAGACTGAAGCCATGGAGGCCAGGACTGGCACCACCATGCACAGAGCCCTGGGCCTGGAGCCAAGAAGACCTAAGTTCAAATCCAGCCTCAGACATTTCTGGACAAGTCACTTAACCTTTACCTCAGTTTCCTCAACTGCAAATTGGAGATAATAATAGCAGCTACTTCACAGGGTTGTTGGAAAAGTCAAATGAGATTGGTGGGTTTTGCTGTGCCCTGACCCAGACTCCCCTGCTGCTACAGGCCAACCCTCCCCCCATTTTCTGCCACCTCAGCCTGGAAACAGCAATCAGATCAAATCAAGGCACTCCTGCTCCATCCCTGTGGCTTTCCTGGCCACCACCATTCCCCCCCTTAGATTGTAAGCCCCTTGAGGGCAGGGGTTGACACTTTTCAATCCTTAATTAATGTGGTTAATTAATCCTTTTTCATTCATTCCTATTAAAGTTCTTGGCAAACTTTAAAATGCAATAGAAACGTTAGGTACTGTTACTGTTGTTTTTGTTATTATTATGGTTACAGATGAGTAAACTGAGGCCCAGAGAGGGCCCAAGGTCACATAAGTGACAGAAGACGGTAGAGGCAGGATTAGAATTCAGGTCCTCTGGCTCCAAATCTAGCTCTATCTCATGGGCACCACGGTGTGGGTGGGAGCCAAAAGCACGTTCTTCCCAGCACCCCAAAGCTGGAGCTCAAATGGGTCCTCTGGAGCTCTCAGGCAGCTCCCCTCTTTGGAACATGGGCACCCTGGGCCCCGCCCCTTGGGCAAGGGACAGCGATCCCCGGTCGCTATGACAACCCGCTGCGCCAACCTCCCTCAAGCTAACTCCCAGACCCAGGACGCATGCGCCGGCCGCTCCTTCCTCATTATCTTCCTTTCGTGCATCCGTTCCTACACAACCGCCTCTCAGCCCGGAACCGGAAGTGCCTCGCTCACCTCGCTGCGCTCCTTTACACCGGAACCGGAAGTGACTGCAGGCGGCAGGAACAACGGAACCAGAGTGCAGAGGCAGCGGCGGCGCGAGGAAGGCAGGACTGCAAAGGACCGGGAGGCCACCGCCACCATGTGAGCACCAGTCATCCCCTCACCCGAACACGGGGGTGCCATCCAGGGAGGGGGCGCGGCCGGGCCCACGAGGGAGTGGAGTCGGGACTGAGGGAGGGCGAGCGAACGCCACCATTCTGGGGGGATCGCCCGGGCGACATTGGTGATTAGAACGCGAGGCGGCGCGCGAGTAGTACGCAGCGGGGGTGCGACCGTGGGAGGAGGGGGGGGCGAGCGCGCGGAGCACGTGGAGTCTAGAGCGGCGCGTGTGGCCAATGGGGGGAAGGGGCGGGCTAGGAAGGCGGCAGGGTGGCCAATGGGAAGAGGGGCTGAGCCGGGAGAGCGGCGCTGGCAGCCAATGGGTGGAGGGGACGGGCCAGTAGAGCCGCTCGAGACGCCAATGGGAAGAAGGGGACGGGCTAAGTAGTCTGGTAGAATATTTGTGTGTGTGGCTCGGTGTCAGTGCCCTGGATCCTGGATCCACTGCCTGCCCTGCTGTGAAACACTGATTTAGCGCCTACTGTATGCCAGTAGTATGGCGGCAGTTAGGTAGCACAGTAGGTAGAGAGCTGGGCTTAGAGTCAGGAAGATTTGAGTTCAAAGCCAGCCTCAGACACTTACTAGCAGTGTGTCACTTAACCCTGTTTGCCTCAGTTTCCTCATCTGGAAAATGAGCTGGAGAAGGAAATGGCAAACTATTCCAATATCTCTGCCAAGAAGACCCTAAATGGGGTCATAGAGAGTCAGCCACGACTGAAAAAGGACTGAAGCACCACCGTATGCCAGGCATTGACCCTGTCCCCCAGGAACTCACTGAGGAAGTGAGTTAGACTCTTTGGGCCTCAGTAAAATGAGGGGCTGCACCAGGTAAACTCCAAGGCCTCTAAACCCATAATCTTAGGGTGTTAGAGGACAGGAATTCTTCGATTGTTCTGCAAGTGTGAAGGGTCTACGAGAGAAGAGTGGTGGGCCACAGGTGAGAGGTGAAAGTGGGAGGGAGCAGGTCTGAGAGCCATCACATAGGATATCAGAGGTGGAGCTGGTCCAGCTGAAGAGCCACAAATGGCAGAGAGCTGTTGGGAGATGTCCAAGACCTAAAGGTTAGATATGAGGGGGAGACCTTGGGAGCAGGCTAAAGAGAACCAGCCACACAGGGAGTCGGAGGGTGGAATTGATCAAGGTCCTGAGGGAATTCAGTTCACAAGCTGCAAGGATCTCCTGAGAGCGTGAGAGAGTTGCAGGGAGGGAAGGCCTTGATTGGAACTGGAGCAGGTGAGGACCCTTCCCTACCCATGATTCATGGGCAGAGGGCACCCAATAAAGGAGTCATTTGGGGAGAAATAGACATAGGGGTTTGATGTTGGAAAGCTATAGAGGAATTAAATAAGGAACTCCTTGAGTGGTCTATCCTACGGGGGACTTGCCACATGGGGAGCATTGTTAGGAAGGTAAAAGGGAATTGAGAGTTAAGTAGCACAAGAGGGTGAACTGAGAAAACCAGATGGCAACTATAGCCGTCTCCCTGTGGGAGAAGTTGCAGTCTTGGAAGAGAGCTCAGAGGTCACCTGGGCCAAATCCAGCTTGAAATGTGACCCCCCCCCCCCACACACACACAAGTGGCTCTTGAACCTCTCTGATTGTCTCGTTAAGGTTTCACTTCTGTCACTAAACATCTGCCTCATTGTTGTCTCCTCTGGAATCAAGTGCAGCGAGTCTTGGTCTTTCGGGTACCTGAAGACAGTCATTCTTTCCCTAACAAAGTCTTTTCTTCTCTAGCTTAAATGTCCCTTCATCCAGTTCCCTCTGAGCAGCCTGAGAAAATTCCTTCCCCTTTCCAGAGTCACTGACAAGCTAGCATGAGGGAATACCTTGTATGGATAGTCCAGCTGGACTGGTCTATCCATTTCCTAAACAGACCCAGTCCTCATGCTGTCTACCTACAGTATCTTCCCCGTGAAAATATTGGCCTTCTCCAAAAGTGGTTCAGAACAGGGCAGGGCACTCTTTGGCATTGGGACCCTGGCCTTAGGCCCTTATTCCCTTCGCTGCAGCTGTGTGGCCTGGCCAAGCCATTTGTTTGCCCATGAGCTTATGTTTTGCCCTGTTTCCAAGATCCAAAAGCTTCTTTGAGAAGAGAAACTCTTCCCCCCTACTCCCTCCTCCACCCTCCACCCAGACATTCATTTATTGATTCATTTATTTATTCATTTTTGGTGAGGCCGTTGAGGTTAAGTGGCTTGCCAGAGTCACACAGCTAGTGGCCCAGACATTTATAAATCCTAAGGGCTGTTGACTAGAGGAAAGAGCATTTATTAGGGGGAGAAGGGAATAAGCATTTATTAAGCACCTACTGAGTGTGCTGTGCTAATCGGTATTATCTCACTTGATTTACTAAGGGCTTATTGTGGAGCACGCTCAGAGATTATAAATACAGAATCAGGACAATCCCTGCCTTCAGTGAGCTTGCGTTCTAATAGAGGCAGACAGCCTGCATAGGGGTATGGTGGCTATGGAAGGAAGGTTTGGTCTCGGGACTCCCTGGGATGGTGAATGGAGCCGTGGGGAAGTGTATTGACAAGGCCTTGGTGGTAACCATGTGAAAATGGATGTAATTATTATTTGGGGGTAGGGGGTAGGGTGTGGGGCAACCCAGCAGAACTAAATATAGCTAGCCCTGTAATTCTACACTAAGCATCTGGGACAACACAGCCCCTGGCAGGGGAGTTCCAAAGCTGAGTGGGAGATCTAGATCTCATTAGATTCCCCAGAGTACGGTCTGTGGAGATCTGGTGGTCTAGAAGAGTACTGTTGTTAGGGGACTGTTCTTTATTTGCATGAAGTAATGAGTTCCATGTCACTGGAAGTTCACACAGGCTTAATGGTCCCTACTCCAGTGCTGTTGTATAAGAGATTCATGCTTGGGTAGTATTTGGCCTAAGGTCCCTTTCCCCAAATATCTTCCAGCGCTGGGTATCTTTGAATCTGCAATGGGATGGAATGGGGAGCCTTCCTTGTGGGTGATACCCACTGAACCAACCACTGTTTTGAGTGGATCCAAGTGAGGCACTGGGTGGGGAGGTCTGCATGAGCAGGGCATGCGAATAGCTTGCTGAATGGGAGGGGAGCTGCCAGACCACCAGCCACAGATTCAAAGGGAGTCCTGATTTGCAGGACAGAGCCTTGTGGAGGATCTCCGTCCCTGGCCCAGACCACATAGTGGAGGGGGCACTTGGCCATATGGGTCGCCTACAGAGCACATTGAGGGGATTAAGGCAGTGTGAGGACCTTGGTAAAATGGGAGTCTTGAGGGCTTTGTCAGGGGTGAGATGAGGCTCCAGGGATGCAGGGTTGGGTTATGTGGAGAAGCCCGAGCCCAGCAGAGCGATCAGGAACAAGGCCTGGAAAGTCCTTCTTCCTTTCCCAGATAGGGGGCTATACGTGGTTCAGAGCTAGTGCGCAGGAGGCCAGCCACCGCAGGCGGGGGGAGGGGGGGGAACGCCAACGTGTCTGTGTCCATGCACTGCCCCCAGGAGTCTCCTAAACAAGCCCAAGAGCGAGATGACCCCTGAGGAGCTGCAGAAGCGGGAAGAGGAGGAGTTCAACACCGGACCCCTGTCGGTGCTCACCCAGTCGGTGAAGAACAACACCCAAGTTCTTATCAATTGCCGAAACAACAAGAAACTTCTGGGACGAGTGAAGGCCTTTGACAGGTGGGTGATGGCCCTCCCTGGCTGCCACTTGTGGGGGGGGCAGGGTGGGTCCTCTCCCGGGAAGGACAGTTCTGTGACCCTGACCGTGGGCAGGGGTGAAAGGGACTCTGGCATTGCAAAGGGGAGGGCCCAGCTCTCTGCTGCCTTCCTTTTCTTTCTGGGGCTTCCTTTAAGGGCATCAGGGTAGGCTTAGCCAGTTTTTCTGCTCATCCCCTGCCCCTCCTGGCCCCAGGCACTGCAACATGGTCTTGGAGAATGTGAAGGAGATGTGGACGGAGGTACCCAAAAGTGGCAAAGGCAAGAAAAAGTCAAAACCAGTGAACAAAGATCGTTACATTTCCAAGATGTTCCTGAGGGGGGATTCGGTCATCGTGGTCCTCAGGAATCCACTCATTGCTGGCAAGTAGCGGAGCCAGAGCCTCCCCTCCCACCCCCATACTTGGCTCAGCCCAATAAGGCTGAGGGGTCCACTAGTTTTACCTTTTGTGAATAAAACCTTGCTGTTTTTTCTTCCCCAGTCTGGTTCTTGTGGCCCAAGTTGGGCTGAGTAAACAGGTGGCCACAGAGAGGGTGCGTGGTGGGGTTGGGGTAAGAATGGCGGATGAGGCAAGGGTGGGATTAGAGCACAGAAGAGGGCGACAGAGCCCCTGGGGTTGGGGCAGAGGTGTGGTGGACAGCAGTTGAGGTGAAGCAGACCTAGTACTCAGGCTGGTTGCCCCAAAACACACACACACACACACACACACACACACACACACACACACACACA